CCGAGGATTAAATCTGCCAAACTCATGCCCTTCATGTTAAATCTCGAATTTAACATGTTTCTGGTAGAATTGATCATTTGATCGTTACTACCCACAATGAGTTTATCGTGTATAAACAAACAGTGATATCATCGTCTATCGTACGCAATACATAGACCCACTAGTCACTTTTATTTATACTAAACTCGTTGGTCATCATTGTATGATCAAACTCACATGCCAAATACTAAGGCAATTGTTTCAACCCATACAATGATCTCACCAATTACACACTTTCTTTCCATAGCGCGGAACCACAAAACCCTCGTGTTGTTCCATGTCTATTAAGAAAGCGATACATCCATTTCGATAAACTTCCAAGTCTCGCTAAACAGCTCTTTGGCAAGTATCATACTAATGGATTTTATTCTCATCACAAGAGAATATTTATATCGAAGTAACCGTGGCACTCGCGTTGCATGTAATCTACAATTACAGGCCTGGCCATTTCACTTCAATATAATCAACCGGTTTTATCTTCCGACTAGTGATCCACTTTGGATCCCGAGGTTTTACAACCTGGAGGAAGAACAACCAGTTCCAAGTATGATTCTCTAAGATAGAATCTACTTCACTCTCGGTAGCCTCTCTCGGGTTGGTCCATCTGTAGAAGTCACAACTTCTACATATGTTCGAGGCATGTTTTCTAACAACCTTGTCAGAAAATCCAATTTATTTTCTAGTAAACAAGTTAGAATATGCGCGTCACATTCTAGCATGTACGTCAGAAAAACTGGACCAAGGGATTTTTCAATCCTGGCTCTCTTGCTACGTCTAGCTTTGAGCTCGGGTTCTCTTTCATACCCTTCAACCATAGCTACGTCGAAAGTTCCTTTCAACGTGCTAGGTCCTTTATTGAACCTTCACAGAAATTACATCTTCAAAGAACGATGAATTTCTTGATTCAGTTTATTGTGTTCTTATGTACATCCAAACTATAGGACTCGTGTACTAAGAACCCAATATACACCTTTGGCAAGATACCCCCACATTTCAGGCATTAGTAGGAAAATTTCCTACGTACCCACAATTCGTAAGAATTTCATACGGGTAACCTTATTTAAAAGGTACTTACTTGTCCAAAGTATTGTCTCACCCCACGTACCTTGAGGTAGACCCGAACTTATCAACGTCTTGATATTTACGTTCGGCAACAGCGTTCGATCGATTGAGGTGAATACCGTACCGTACTCTCGAGTACAATACCAATGCTTGCGCCGAAATCACCAATAGGTGTTTCATGTTCACCACATCAATTATTCATAACCTCATTAATCCACGATTAATTTGGTTTTTCCTTTTAATTCTTATAAAGAATAAACATGTGCTGCACATTAGCACATCCCGAAGAAGCTAACAGATTAGCCTTTACAAATCCATTCGGTTTTGACCGAAAGGCCACAAACCCGAAACAGTGCTTCCGAAATTGAAGCACGAATCAGTGCTTAGTAATGAAGCACGAAACATGCTATACCAAGCACGAATCATTGTTTCTAAACTAACGCATCGATTCCAAAGCAATCTCTATTGCTTTAAATTATAAACTCACAACAACCTTTCGTTGCTTAATTTATAATTACAGTGCTACCTGACACTAGGATTATTAGTTAATTACACAATTAACCAAACTTCCTTTCGTGCTAATCACATAGCACTTTTTACAACGCTAAATTTAATTAGCCACATACGAAAGGTTTAAGCTAAGTAAATTAGCATTAAAACCAATCATAATCTAGCACCTTTATTGCTATTACCAAAGCACAGATGCTTAAGTTTTCAACACCTAAAGGTGCAGCCACCAAGTGGCCGAAAGTGCCTAATTAAGCACTCTACCTAGTGCTTAATAGCACTGTTACAGTGTTGTTATTTGCACTTCAAAGTGCCAAATAACACTTTCCATTAGTGCTACAAAAGCACTATTCACCAAAACACAATTTGTCTCAAATTAAATATACTAGTATAATTTGGAATTTTTGATCAAGTTAATTATCACACAATTAACGAGAACAGATGAACCAAATTTTCCGACTAGTTGAATCAAGCTTATATAATCGTTCTCAGAATATTAATTAAAATATTCAACAATTGAGCTGTGACGCTCACGATTATATAGCTATCCCAATTTTTGACAAATTGATCCTTGAAATCCTTATCGTTCTACATGAACCAGGACCGCAGTCCTTATACGGGATTTCAAACATGTAACAAGCTTGTTACATTTCATTCCGGCCGTTAAGCCATTTTAGCATTTTCCACATAATGCTCCGTGATGCACTACGCACCCATATTGAATCATTTCATACATTCAACATTATTTCATCAAATAATTCGTATGTACTATGATTCAATAGCTCAATGGAACAATTCATTTTTTTTTTATTCAACAATAAAAAGTGTATCACAAGGATACTACAACATTTATTTAATAAATGAATAAATAGGAAAATTATATTGGAAACAAATTTCCTTTTTCCTATCTCGTAGTAATCCTTTAACCCGTGTGCCTTGTTCCATTTTCCAACCGTCCACTCCACGAGGGTGGTCCATAGCGCACATCGGGGGTACCTTGGTTGTGACCTCACTCGTCCAACCATCCACATGTCTTAAACACAGCGAAGTTATCCTCAACCTTTTCACTAGGATGACGGTTTGCTTCGTAGTGGCATTTCTCCTTTTTTTCGTAATTTTCTTGAAATCTAAGCTTTCGCTTGAGTTTCCTTCGATTACGGTTGAAGTCATTTGTAACACTACCATAGTCCTCAGACCATGTAGTCATTACACCATCATAGGATCCTTCATGGCTTTTAGCCGATCCACTAGACAACACAATAGGTACCAAATGTGTGTCACCAGCCACAGGTCTACCGGTTCATGAACCAAAGTTCTCCGGAGCACCATCGTGTGTCTTTGCAACTCCCATGGAAATATTATTTCCAACGTTGCCGCCGTCAACCGGCGTCACGGAATGTGCAACATCGTTGCCGTTCCTACCATTTGAATGTGCACCTCCGGCAACATTCACGGATCCAATACTCTTGGAATCCATCGATTTGTTCATTATCAAATTAAATAAGGTTTTGAGACTGTTGGTGATAATGAACCAAAAATCGATTTAATATCGTAAAATAATATTTATATATACACACACGAAGTATATAAAATATTATTCGATATATTATATCCGAAATGTATATATATATATATATATATATATATATATATATATATATATATATATATATATATATATATATATATACACACACACACATATATATATATATAAATCAGACCACCATGGTTATATGCATGAGTATCTACGGAAAAGATATATGCATATCAACCAAATGGAATTTATAATACACAGATTATAATTCCAACCAAACTATAATATAAAAGGAGGATTTTCGCTTAGAAGCATAATCCAAAACCGAAAGAAGGAAAGATTGGCTTGTGTTTGGGTAAGGGTTTTTAGCGTGAGTCAAGAGACCACTCTTTCCTTAAAAACTTATTTGCCACCTCCGAAAAGTGCTAGGAGCGCCGTGGCCTAGGTTTCCCAGGATAAAACGCGCTACGGTTCGACGTTTGAGCACCGAAACGAACGAACCCGGCGAACTAGAGCAACAGCCTTGAACACAGTTAGGCTTAAGAAGGGAGTAGAAGCAGAAGGTTTGGAAGCTTGAAACCAAAATTCGTGTAGAGCTATTGTACTTGTTCGTAGTGTGTAAAGCTTCTACCTTCTACCCCTTCTTATATGGGGATGGAGTACTTAATAGTATTGATCATGGCCATTACATTTGTCTATGTAACATCTGAAACAGCAAGCCATTTAAATTCAAAATTAATATTGAAATTAATTGAGAATTTATTCACACTTTTGTCCGTTGGCATTCTGCCAGGACGGAACTGTCAATGTTTCGGCCTAGGCCGAAATTAGACAGGCTTAGTTTCGGCCCCAGGCCGAAACATTGCTGTGCTGCTCATCAGTTTCGGCCTCACAAGCCGAAACTAGCAGGTTTCGGCCTCCCAGGGCCGAAACCATGGTTTAGTTTCGGTCTTGGCCGAACCCAAGTGGCTATTGCGTTGGAAAATATGATACCGAAAGTTGGCATAACTTAGCCCGCAAGGCCAGCCAATTTCCGGACGACATTCGTGCCCGTAGGTGCCGGCGCACACGAGCTCGGGCTTGAATCAAGCCTTTCCGAAGTCATCTCTCAACAACCTACAAAGTTGATAATTATTAAATAATTAGTAAGCTAGCATTTTTAAAATTAGAAAGATAAAGGTATTATATTAATTACATGCCTTATCCATTCCCGCACATGCTTTTTGGAAAGAATTTCAAGCATGTATTTCATCACATAATATCTACATGCCGTACTTCCAACTTGTTGAGCACACTACATTTGAATTAAATTAAATTTAAAATTTTATTTAATAAAAAAGAATAAAATATATGTAGTTTTACAAATGTATAAAATACTTACCTAAACCTTAGTCCATTTTGGTGAACGAGTTGATCCATTGCTTCTCAACAACTTAGCTGAATTGACACACCTAAAATTATAAGAGATTAGTATGCATAAATACTTTATGACATCATGCATACTTTATTAATTATACATATTAATACTTATAAGTTCACATACTTTTCAACAATATCTTTGATGTCATCATGTGGCTGGCCTCCAATTGAATCAAACCAATAAATTTCATTAAGTTGAGGACAAATTGCCATCAACATCCCATGGTCACTACAAATCAATAATGTATTAGTTGTAAGTAAATATAATATATAATAAAAGTGTATTGTATATAAGTTATTTTATTTGAAACAATTAAAACTTACTTTAAAATATATGGCGCTAGATAGCATTGTTTTTGGCCATATTGCATGGTGACGTTGATATACCCTGTCCGTTCATCTATAAAATTCGAAATTGGTTGAATTGAATGTGGATCTAAGAATCCATATGTGGTCTTTGATGCCAAATCAAATTTGTCATATTGTTTTTGGCCATATTGCATTGCATGTCTGTCTTTCTTGGATTTTGCTCTTTAATCAATGCCTTGTGCTCATCTAAATATGGCTCGACTTCACTTGTATTATGCAAGATGTACAAATGTGCTTCCTCAATATCTTCAGGAGGGATACCGGCTACTTTGCGTCCTCGAGTAACTTTCCCAGCACTTCTTCCTTCATCTCGATACTTAGAAAGACCAATAGCTTCTACCCCCGCCAAATATTCAGTACAATTCAGTTACCTCCTCAGCAATATAGCTTTCAACAATAGATGCTTCTGGTCAATATCAGTTCCTCACATAACCTTTTAAGACTTTCATGTACCGTTCATATGGGTACATCCCCCTCAAATAAGCAGGACCGCACTGTTTGATCGCTCGCACCAGATGTATAACCAAATGAACCATGACATCAAAAAATGACGGTGGAAAATACATCTCCAACTGACACAATGTAACAATAATGCCATTTTGCAATTCATCTAGTTTGTCTGGATCAATCACTTTTCCACAGATAGCATTGAAAAAGAAACAAAACCTTATAATAGTATATCTCAACTTTTTGGGCAATATACCTCTAACAGCCACTGGCAATAGTTGCTACATTAAGGCATGACAATCATGAGATTTCAATCCCACCAATTTTAAATCTTGCATATTCACAAGTGTTCTAATATTTGATGAGTACCATTGTGGTACCTTGACTCCACGTAAACACTCACAAAAACTTATTTTCTCCTTTCTTGATAAAGTATGAGCAGCTGGAGGCAAATATGTCGTCTTATCCCCTTGGCGTGGAGCTAATGTTGCTCTTATGTTCATTTCAATCAAGTCTAATCTAGCATTGAGTCCATCTTTAGTCTTACCTTTTATATCTAAAAGAGTTCCAACAAGACTATCACACACATTTTTCTCCACATGCATCACATCAATACTATGTCTCACATCTAATGTTTTCCAATATGGAAGATCAAAAAATATGGATTTCTTTTTCCATGGACTCTTTTCATTTGGAGGTACCTCAACATTAGCTATTGACCTCTTACCTCTTTGAGATTTAAGTTTTTGAGTTTTACCAAAAGTAACATTTATACATTTTACACGTTCATAAACTTCAATCCCAGTCATTGGTTGTGGAGCATCTGTATAGTCTTGTTGCCCATTGAAAGCCTTTTTTAATCTCCTGTAAGGGTGAGCTCTATCAAGAAACCTCCGGTGACCCAAGTAGACTGTCTTTCTGCCATGGACAAGTTGTGTATAACATGTATTATCTTCACATATAGGGCATGCCTTATGTCCTTTGACACTATACCCAGCCAGGTTTCCATAAGCTGGAAAGTCATTGATTGTGCAAAAAAGCATAGAATGCAACTTAAAATTCTCTTTCCGGTAGGCATCAAACACTAACACACCTTCATCCCACAATTTTTTCAAGTCATCAATCAAAGGTGCCAAAAAGATATCTATATCATTACCGGGTTGTTTTGGGCCAGAAATCATCAAGGACAGTAATATATATTTGCGTTTCATACACAACCAAGGAGGTAGATTATAAATCACTAACATAACTGGCCACGAGCTATGCTTGCTACTTAGGTTCCCGTGAGGGTTTATACCATCAGTACAAAGGCCAAGTCTAAGATTTCTGAACTCATTGCCAAATTCAGGAAAAACATTATCAAAGGTTTTCCATTGAGTAGAATCAGCTGGGTGTCGAAGCTTACCATCAGAAATTTTTTGATCTGCATGCCATGTTAAGTTTTTCACGTCGCTTGGATTTGCAAACATACGCTTAAATCTTGGAAGAATTGGGAGATACCACATAACTTTAGCTGGTGGCCCTTTCGAACTTGCCTTACCAACAACATGCTCTCTTATTTTGTACCGAGATGCCCCACAGATTGGACATGCATTCAATTCTTTGTAATCAATCCTAAACAATATGCAATCGTTAGGACAAGCATGTATCTTTTCATACTCCATACCCATGGGACACATAATCTTCTTTGCATCATATGTATTCTTCGGGAGTCCATTATCTTCTGGAAGCATATCGTTTATTAAATCAAGTAAAGCAGTAAAGCTCTTGTTGCTCCATCCATTCCCAGCTTTTAAGTTGAATAATTTCAAAACAGCAGATAAGCGAGTATATTTACTACACCCGGGCCATAAAGGCTGTTTTGAATCATTTAATAATTCATCCAACTCATTTGATCGATTTGTGAACTCTTCTCCAACATCACGGAACATTTCGTCCAACCTATCTTCAGACTCATCATCTTCATTTGCTTCGTTGTCAACATACATGTTAGATGTACTAGTCTCTCTTCCTCCTTCACCGTGCCATATCCATTTTGTATAATTTAGATTAATTCCATCACAAATTAGATGATCATATATGTCATTGGCACTTAATAGTTTTAGATTACAACACTTCTTACAAGGACACCAAAACGTTGCATAATTATTTGGAAGATGACGTTTTGCAAACTTTATAAATTCTCTAACTCCGGCTTCATATTCTGTACTCAACCGAGAAGCTTTCATCCAACTTTTATCCATCACAAGTCAATCTAGGATAATATTAATTCCAATTAAACTTTTGTTAACATTGATTAAACTCTATCTAAAATAATTGTTGTGGTGAAAATAGACTAGTAATTACAAATATATACAAATAAACCCTAAAATGCAAATAAATTGACTAAAATTCAAAATTAATCAATAATAATTACAAATATATACAAATAAACCCTAAAATGCAAATAAATTGACTAAAACTCAAAATGAATCAATAATAATTACAAATATATACAAATAAACCCTAAAATTCAAATAAATTGACTAAAATTCGAAATTAATCAATAATAATTATAAATATATACAAATAAACCCTAAAATGCAAATAAACTGACTAAAATTCGAAATTAATCAATAATAATTACAAATATATAAAAATAAACCATAAATTGCAAATAAATTTGATAAAAGTCGAAATTTATCAATAAAACTTACAAATATATACAAACAAACCCTAAATTGCAAATAAATTTAATAAAAATCGAAATTAATTAATAATAATTAAAAAAAATTATAAAACTTACCGGCGATGGCAACGTCGATGGCGTAGCGACGGCGGCGGAGGGCAGCGGCCGATCTGAGACGGTGCGGCGGCGGCAGGGTTGAAGTTGCAGCGGCGGCGGCGGGGTGGGGTGGAGACGATGCAGAGGGGAAGGAGTGTGCGTCGGCGATGTGGACGATGCAGCGGGGTGGACGACGTCGGTGAGTTGCAGCGGCGGCAGAAGCGGTGGGAGGAAGATGGACGGAAGAGATGGATGCGGTGGGAGGAGATGGATGGAAGAGATGACGGATGTGGTGGTTCGGGCGTCTGACTGTCGTAAGTTCTCAGATCTGGTTATATTTATAAACTTTATAACGTCGGCTAATTCTTTAGCCGACGTTATAAAGAAAAACAAAATTAAAAGCAATACGACGTCGGCTAAATAGTTAGCCGACGTCGTATTATACTTAACTTTTTTTTTTAGTATATAATGTCGGCTAAACGGAATTAGCCGACGTTATATATAAATAATTTTTTTTTTAAATAATAAACAACCTACGACGTCGGCTATTAATACAGCCGACGTCGTAGGTTATGTATTTCTTTTATATTATTATTTTTTATTTATAACGTCGGCTATTACTAAATAGCTGACGTTATAAACTTAATTAAAAAAAATTAAATGTTTTTAACGTCAGCTATGTATATAGCCGACGTTAAAGACCCGACGTTGTATGTGAATTCTGTAGTAGTGACTACAGATTCATAATATATGTACTGTAGATTCATAATTTCTAAATTGTATAGTTATCAAATTATGAACATATAGTTCTGTGATTTGTGAATATAGAGTTCAACAATTGGGAATATGAACATCGAAAATTATGAACATAGAGTTCTGTAATTGTGAATATAGAGTTCAATAATTATGAATATGAAGTTCAAAAATTATGAATATATAGTTTTATAATTATGAACATATAGTGCAGTAATTATGAACATAGAACAGTGTGCACCCGGCACCATGCATGGTGCACACGGTTGCACAGCATAATTTCCCCATATAGTAGCTCTGTCCATGAGTACCACTATAGTCGTGGGACCAAAAGTGCGAAAAATTCTTTTTATAATTAAATACTAGAAACAAGGTAGAATTCTAGTAATATATTTGACGCTTGTTAGAAAAGAAAATAAAAAAATTAATATTTAGAGGAGTAAATAATGTCAAATAAAAAGGCCTGGAACATAATTATAAAATCACAAAAGTTGATGGAACATTTTTATAATTAAATACTAGAAACATGATAATTGTTTGTTAGAAAAATTTATATAATCCAACCTGTTGTGAATTGGAGACTAGATTTTTAATGTTTACTCATTAATGTGTAACTTATTGGGGTTTTTTTTTTTTTTTTTTTTTTTTTTTTTTTAAAAAAAAAAAAGAGAAAAAAATAAATCAAGTAGGCGCTTATTGTGCATGTATTGGTCCATTATTTAGGTGATTTTTGTATGTTGGCTAGTGATGATGGTATCATATGCATTAACTGTTTTGTTTTATTTTAAAAAGTTCAACAGAAGAATTTGATTTACTCGTCCAGTAGATAGCGAAATGAGCACATGTCTTACTTTTATTTCGTTTTTCTCTCTCTAACCGGTCCCACAAAAATATGTACAAATATTTGACTGCAATCGGAGAAACATATGATAACAACATTTGTGACGCAAAAAGTCAATATCTCGTTTGCTCTATTCACGATTGCATCGCTCCTTGCAAAAACTGTCATCTAGGATCTTGTCTCATCACTTTCACTCATTTTTCTTTGATTTCTTTTTTTTTTTGGTACTCGTTTTTCTTTGATCTTTTATTTGTGTATAATCAAGAATATTTTTGTAATTGCAAAATTAGTTAATTAATTTGGTCCATTATTTTGGTGAATTTGGTATGTCGTCTAGTGATGACGATATCGGATGCCTTCATTGTTTTGTTAGATTTAAAAAGAAGTTCAAGAAAAAAACTAGATTTATGTACTAGCCCAATATAGTTGATGCGTGAAACGCGCATCTGTCGTACTTTTCCTTCATTTTTCTCTCTCTAATGGGGCCCACAAAAACGTGTACAAATATTTGATCGAAAATGGATAAACATATGATAACAACATTTGCCACGCAAAGAGTGGATATCTTGTTTTCTCTCTTCACGATTGCATTTCGCTCCTTGCAAAAATTGGTCATCTGGGATCTTGTCTCCTCACCTATCTTTCTTCTTTGATCTTTGATTTGTGTATGATCAAGAAATTTTTTGTAATTGGGAAATTAGTTAATTAATTTGGTCCCTAATTTTGGTTATTTTGGAATGTTGGCCAATGATGATGGTATCAGAAGCATTCATTGTTTTGTTAGATTTAAAAAAGAGTTAATCAACGATTTGGTCCCTCAATTATTAGAAAATTGTCAATGTAGTCCCTCAATTCTTTAATCATCGATTTGGTCCCCGAAAATAATTGTTTTTAATCGATTTAGTCCCTCCGGCCGTCTTCCGTCAACCAGTCGGTGAGAACTCCGATTTAGCAGGGGCATTTTGGTCTTTTCTTGTCTTCAGCCCTCTTCTTTCCATGGTGGCCACCTCGACGAGACGTGGTGACTCTCGTTTGGACCTCCGGTAACAAAGTAGAACCATCCCGGATATCTACTCCCATGAAGTCCCAGATTGTGGACGTATCCACCGCACCCGGGTTCTGTTGATTCACCGCGGAGGAAACGAAGGCTAGCAAGGGTGCATCGGTAGTCTCAGATAGATCAACGGGGCCTTCCATCGACGTAACATCCTTCGTAAAATCGCGATAGGCGATCTCGAGATCGCGATTTACGATCGCGTCGATGATCGCCGAGATGGCGAGTGAGAACGGCGATCGCATCGCCGATGGGTGACGAAACCTCGAGGGCGTCTCCGAAGACCATCGTCGGTGTCAGTGGACATGATCGAGGGCACGATCGTCGACTGGTTTACGAGAATCGAGACTGGTAACCGTTTACTTGACGGTTCCGCGAAGTCTCGATCGCCCAAGTCCGATCGCCGATCAAATGATGGATTGAATTAATGATGTTGCTGGGTGGTAGCGACGACTCTAGTTCTCCGAGAGCCATCATCGACACTGGAACAGTGCCAAAATCGTCGCCGAAGTCGCGATTGGGGAAATTGCAATCGGCGTTCGATCGTCTCGCTGTTAGTCGCGATGTGAAGCGGCTGTGTTGGAGACCATTCTAGCTGGTCTCGATTCATCGTTGCCTGTGTGCAGTCGTCGGATCGCTGACGGAAAGAGGTTGACGCCTTTGCAGCGTAACGTGATTCAGTTCGCATTCGACTTCATCAGGGTGCGATCCACACATCTCCATGTCCGCCTCGTTTTGGTCCGATCAGATCGCCGGTTAGAGGTCGTCGGCGCCGGTGGCTATCGAAGAAATTATGGCCTGGGTATAAGAAGAGGACTCAAGATAAGAAAATACCAAAATGCCCCTGCTAAATCGGAGTTCTCGCCGGTTTGTTGACAGAAGACGACCGGAGGGACTAAATCGACTAAAAACAATTATTTTCGGGGACCAAATCGATGAATAAGGAATTGAGAGACTACGTTGACCGTTTGCTAATAATTGAGGGACCAAATCGTTGATTAACTTGTTAAAAAAATCAAGAAAAAAAAACACTAGATATACTCTTCGAGTAGATGCAGGAAATGCGCACGTGTCTTACTTATCCTTCGTGTCTCTCTCTCTGATAGGGACTACAAATACGTGTACAAGCATTTGCCGGCAAATGGAGAAACATATGATAACAACATTTGTGGGCAAAGAGTGGATATCTCGTTTGTCAGTCGTTATATCATAGACCGCGGTGCACATGCACCGCGTTAAAAAACGGCGCCGTTTCTTTAAGTAAAGAAACGGCCCGCCGTTACCGTTAACGGAGTCCGCTTTTTTGGTGTATTAAACACCAACTGGCACTACAGTATATCTAAACCGACACTGCAGTTATATCAAAATGATATTGTAGTTGTGGTGAAATGAAACTGCAGTGTATATAAAATGAAACTGAATAATATTTCACATATTTGAGTGTATATTGTACAATGAAGCTGTAATTATATCAAAATGATCTTGTAGTTGTGTTTTAATAAAACTATAGTGTATATAAAATAAAATTAAATAACATTTTCACATATTTGAGTGTATAAATATCGAATGAAATTGT